AAGATGACTTATGATTTCTGCCATTTAATGACTACACATTTACAACTACAATTGACAAACACAGTTTCTTCTGATTTTCTATAGATCATTAGTTCTCCTGGCATATTGTGTGCGACGTATGCAGTCTGAACATACACATCTGTATCCTCCGAGTCTATTACTACTGGTTTAGTGACTTTGTAGCTTGTTCTGAGATAGTAGTAAATAGTCAGCATCATTGTATCTGCTTCTGCCTGACTACAATTAAATTCTGGTATCTCACCATTATCTGATAAATCAACACAATTTTCTAAAGAGTACAACACTCTAACTCCTTCAACTTCACTTCTTCTTGCTAGGGTTTCTTTAATAAATCCTTGTATTCTTGACTTGTTTTAATTGCTCTTAATGATTTTTTTAAACTCTTTACTTCATGGAAGCTGGTCCTGTAACTTCATGTGTGTATTAGGTATTTTCTGCCTATTTAATCGTCATTCTCTTTCTTCATATTTGATCGACTCTTCTTTACCGTATATGTCATTACAACAGATTGGTGTTTGTATCCATACAGTGGACAAGTTTTGATTTTTGGCATTTTCTAAATGTACCATTAGCATTGAATATGCCCAGGATACAGAGGTTATTCTCACCAAAGTTATCACTTTTGATCAACAAGTGGAATTATATACCAAATATTTGATATTGGACGATTTTTGTGGCGGCCATCTTAAATTTAAAAATGGCTGACATGCTTGGTTTTTTAAACTATGTTCATTGGACTCAAAGAAGTGAATAACATATGATTAGACCCTAAATTTAACATTTTTTAACGAGGAGAAATGCAATTATATACCGAAAGTTTTGATTTTTGACAATTTATGTTTTGGCCATCTTGAATTTCAAAATGGCTGCCATCCTACCTTAATGAAGTTATTCTTATTGGACTCAGAGAGCCTAATTACATATGAGTAGACATCAAATTTATCATTTTTCAACGACAGGAAGTGAAATTATACTGGAATATTTGATTTTCAACGATTACTATGGCAGCCATCTTGAATTTCAAAATGGCTGCCATCCTAGGTTTTTGAAACATGTCTCATTGAATTCAGTGACCCTAATAACATATAGTTAGACACCAGATTTACCCTTTTTCATGGAGCAGAAGTAAAGTTATGAGCCATTTTTAAATTTTGGTGGCCATTCTAAAAATGGCCGCCACAAAAAATGTTTCACCCTTTTTCAGGAGGCTCACCCCGCTCATTTTTTTTTAAATTTTATACCCTAGTGAAGCCAAATCAGCAGAGAAACCTTGGTCCCCGAAAAACGGGGGCCCTGTTTTTCACTATACTATAGCCATGCAAAAAAGAACAAAAATATGCGGGCAATGTACATTAGATAAGCGGTACAGAAACTAAGGTATGGAATTAATAATTTCATTGCGAAATTCTAAGGCCTTTTTAGTGAAGACCCTACTAAATCCTCATAGGTCGGGGGCACCTGTAAGAGGGAAACATCGCCATGCAGTTTCAAAATGGAAAAGCCGAAATTACATAAGTTTTGGCGTGGATGTAAGAACAATTTTCACTTTCAGGGCAGATTTCAAGCATATGGTTGGGGGGCGGTACATTAAACGGGATGCCATCGCACTGCCTTCAAGGTAGGCCACTGGATCTAATTAAGGGTTTGGGAGCTGATTACGATGCGCTTGGAGTTATTCTACCTGGATTAAATTGACAGAGATCTGAGATTTATTGATGATATAATAATGCAGGACATTGTGAACTTTAAGCTGCTACGTGAAGAAGATAGCAGATTCTGTGATCTGGTAAATTTTGGTTAAACGCAGCTTTAATATACTGAAAGAGGTAGGGCGACCGCATTATATTGACAACAACCACGTGTTAGCCATGATAGAGAAGAAAATAAATGCAGATGATAGGGCGGTGTGGTTTCGTATCTTACAAAGAGGAGAAAAACATGGATGACAGAATGAGGGCGACAGCACCATTACGTAACACCATCCAAACAGCTTGACGTATATCATCTGTAATGTATGTGTCTAAAACATATTATAGTACACACAATTTTAAGTATTGGTGTGCCAGAATTCAGAGCACTGGTTACAATTGTCCTAAGCTGACGCTCATGACACCAATCGAACACATAAAAACCATGTAGAACGGTCGTGCATGCTACAGCTGTTTAAAGAAAGCTGGAAGAAACCACAATATACCTACATATTCTAGAAGAAGACAATGTACCGTGATGAGCATCGAGATTCAATGGAAGTCATTTCATCATCCGTTTCTTATATTCATTCCATAAAATCCACCGGGGTAGCAAGCGTGAATATTTATAGCAAAGAAACATACTACCAGTAGCCTTAGCGTAGATGATAGGAAATAACAACCGGCAACAGGCCGCAAATTTTCTTCTGAACACGGGAGCTCAACTAATCATAACATCTCCATAAACACTTGAATCTAAAGGATAAGAAGTGGCGACGACAATTCGTAAAGTAAGGGGAGAGCAGCTCTTTACCAAGATTTATAACACCAAGATTCGCCAGTATAAAAAGTAACATTAAGAGTTTACTGTGAAAGCAGTTGGTAAACCTTCAATAAGTGAGGAAGTTCAGGTATCAGAATTAGCAAGCTGTTTAAATATTAATGTTGAAGATGTTCATCGTGGACATGGTCCAATATATCTGCCAATTAGAATCGACTACTCAAAGAAGCATGTAGGCTGAACAAGAAATGTTCAGTATCAGAAGAGCAAACACATTTATACCGAGTATTACATGATGACTTATGCATGAAGGTTGGTGTGATCAGTGGATGATACCATATTCCTTGAAGAAAGACCCAAACAACAGGCTGCAAGCTGAAAGAAAATTAGCAGGATATTGAACGAAGATTTCAAAAAGATTTTGAGCTTGCAAAAGATGAAGGCCATGGTCGACATGAAGTTTGTAAGGGAACTTAGCAGAGAGGAACTAAATAATCACAAAGTCCCAGTACATTACATAGCCCACTTTCCAGTGGTGTGTCCACAGAAGAGTACATCAGTGCGCATATAGTATTCGACACGTTCGCAAAGTTGTTAGGTATGCTTTTTACTTCTTCCACTACTTCTTTCGCCCTTTCAATTGTGCTGACTGAATCGCAAATGTCATCCATATAAGTGTTTACTTTGAGAATTTCTGATGTCTGTGGAGATATTTCTTTACCATTTCAGCCATTTTTCTTAAGGCAACATAAGCCGGCTGGCTTGTCCCCAAATGTAACAACCGTTTATACATAATTATTCATCAGGCTGCAAGTCTACCGTCATGTTTCGCCACAAAAAACGTTGCTCATACTAATTATGTCACTGCATAGTGAAACGTTATTCTCTCTGAATCGCAAGAGCACTCCTAACAGGTTGTTAAGCAGGTGTGTGCCCTTTAGCAATAGTCGTTGAGGTAGTGTCCGGTGGTTTCAGTGTTAAAACTTGGAATTCAAACAAAGAAGAGACTACACCAAAGCAAGGCAGAGATGAACTAAAACTGTTGGAAATGATGACCAATGATGACCACGTTTTAGGAACTGTCTGGGATAAAAAAAAACAAAAAAAAAACAGGATGTGTTCAAGTTCAAAATGAACATTGACCTAGAAAATTATGTATGAAGTAAGAATAGCACACAATTGAAGTTGACGAAACGAAGATTGCTAAGAATATTTGATCCTATTGAAATTGCTGCACTCAGTTTGATTCAACACAAAATTGGAATTCAATGGTTATGTGAACAGGTACTGGACTAGGATCAAGACCTGTCTTGGTCTGAACAGGAAAAGTGGTTTGAAATTTTCCAAGATATGGGAAGCATTAATGATGTAAAAGTAGAGAGATGTCTACCTAATGCCATGGACTGTCGAAACTTTGCATTTATTCAGATGCATCGGAATATGCATTTGGGGTATGTGCGCACGCTAAATGGAAAACCAATGAAGGATCATACGAAGTAAGGTTTATGACTGCAAAGTCCTCCACTGAGCGGTTATCAATACCCAGGCTAGAGCTACAAGCTGCTGTATTGACCACCAGATTATCAGAAACTATTCAGGATGAAACAAGACTGCAAATAACCAAACCATTTTCATGTCTTACAACACAATCGCACTTGCTTGAATAAGAAGTAACGCAAGATCATTCAAACCCTTTGTATCAGCGAGTGAAATCCACAGTAGATCAAACCAATCCCAATGGAGACACATACCTGGCAAGGACGTATCAAGAGGCACACCGAGCTCCATTATTTCTAAGTCTTGAAGAGAAAACTTGCCCCGAGATACGTGGCCAAAGTAAGATCAAATGGATACAACGGACAGGACTTAACTCGAAAAGAATGAGAAGGAAGATGTAAACTTAAAAAAGAACAACGAATGTAGAATTGCTAGGCCTGCTATGTAATTAACTTCATATTACTGTATTAGGCCTACTATATATATTTTTTCATTATTACGGTTTTAATCCACTTTGTCTCCCATTATGCATTTTACTTGTCTGGGACGCTTTGAATTACGGGCTATTTACCATTATCGATGGTTATTATAATTCCTAGCCTACAGAATTCCAACTGTTCTTTCAACTTTTATTGTGTGAACATAATATTATGTAATCAAATTTCATTTCATTTATTCAGTCCAAAGTACAATAGAACTGACAAACACAAAATATCATGTTTAATTATTTTCTCTCCATTCTGTCGGAAAACATACATACAGAGTCAAGTCAGTCAAAAGTTTAATTAGATAAAAAAAAATACTATATAAATATTGAAATAAAAGAATTGCAGCGTAAACCTAAAGTTAAAATGTTCAATTCAAGAGTAAAATGCAAAATATTAAAATAGATTATTACTTTGCATAGAAATATATACAGCCAATGCCGTGGATTCAACCATGGCACTGGACACAATCAATACAATTATGATTCTGATACAAAATAAGAGTAAAATAAGTTAAAATAAACTTACTTTCTTCAAGCAGTTTAGCCGAACTTTTGCACTGGCCTAGTTTATTTCTTGCTTCCATTGAGTATTCACCAAAATCACTATCATTCACATCACTGACGGTCAAAGAATACTGGCAAATATTATCGAACTCGATCTTAAAACGAATGTTTTCTTCAATTGGTTTGCCGTTTTTAAACCAAGAGATATCAGCAAGCGGATAACTCTTCACTTTGCAATTAAATGTTGCTCTACCCCCTTTGCAAACACTACTGTCTTTTAGAATGTCGAGCAAGATTGGCGTTGACTGATACTTGAACGATGTTTGTATTGTCTCGGCCATATTCGGAGATTTTTCATGTGAAATTGTTTTCTCCTTTTTAACATAGCATACGTCATCAACTTGAATATTGTTATTCATCTCAAATTTTTGTATGACTTCCTCGACAATGCTATTTTTTCGCTTTAGCCGAGTGGTACAAGTTTTGCTAACTGGAGAGTTGACATTTAAACTCTGCTTCTCAGTCGTGTTAAATTTGGTAAGTTGACTTACTGTAGGTGTGTGTGAAAACTTTGATTCAGTGGAAAGTCTGCTCCCAAACATCATCAGGACATTCATTCGATGAATCGCTCGCAAAGCGATTGCTGTTTTCTGCAATGAAAATTATTATAATGTGAAGCACGATTGCAAAAAGATGTCATATAGAGTACACAGATCCATTTTCATTCCGATTTGTACGTCTGACACGACAGAGTGATTCACAATACATACCAATTGACTTTAAAAAACAAACGCACACAATGTAATAGAAAATAGCTTTATAATAGAGGAAGAGGCACTGTATTGTAGTTAATACAAACACACCTCTTACAGGATTCTGAGAACAAAACGTTTTTGAGACAGGAGCGGGCCTACGATGACCCCGAATAAGGAGTACCATTACAAGATTATAACAGTATGAATAAAACTGAATAAATAAGTTTGTAGAAGAGCCCAATTAAATATAAAGTAGTGCAACTTAAAAAAAAAACATCGAATATAAAACTTGGCTTAGGAAGGCTGTGTTGTAACCCGCACTCAATTACATTTTGTTTTGTGAATTTTTAAAGAAAATCTATTTATGGTTTTATTTTTAGAACAGTAATAGTAAAACATCTTAATTTCTATTGTAGTTGCAAAAATACTACAGGAATCGAAGATTTTCTTCGACAGTAGAACAGTATTTTAAAATAAGCAATGCCCTCTGTAGTATTTTACTAATTAGAATATATTTCAGCTGTTGTTTTTCTTTTCATATTTGGCAAGTATTCATTAAATAAAAACATTGAATGAATGTGAATGAATGAATGAATACAATTTAATTCGATTATGAGAGCCATATGTAAGCTTTTTCAAGGGTGTTTGGTCGGGCTATTAAATATCCTGACACTGCCCTCTTGAAGATATTGACATCTCATGGTTTAGGTTGTATGATGTACGCTGATGACATACAAGTGTGTCGATTTCATCCAAGAGAGCTCTCACTCACTTTCTAAGCTTAATGCTTGCGTAGGTGACATCAAATGCTGGTTATCCTTAAACAAGCTATGCTTAAATATAAAAGCAAAACGGAATTAATCACTTTTAGCTGCTGTTTTCGAGCCCACGAAGTGATGTCTTTACGGCTGTATGATTCCTTAGTAAAACTAAAGCCTGAAACTCGTAACATTGGTGTTATATTTGAATTAACTCTGCAAAATAAAAACCAACATCGACACTGTGTGTCGGTCTGCATATGTTGCCATCTGGAGAATTGGAAAATTGGGAAATATTTAGACTAACCCACCACCATCCGCCTAGTTCACACCTTTATAACTTTTTAGTATAGTGAAAATCAGGGTCCCCTTAACCATTTTCGGGGATCAAGATTTCTCTACTGATTTAGCTTCATTGGGGCATAAATAAGAAATTGAGCGGGGGTGGGGACCCTTAAGAAAAAGAGCAGAACACATTTTTGGGGGCCATTTTAAAAATTTAGATAGGCCTATTGGCTCGTAACTTTATTATGTTGAATGAAAAGGTGTAAATCTGGTTTATAAGTATATGTTATTGTGGTACTGAATTCAATGAGACATGTTTCAAAAGCCTAGAATGGCAGCTATTTTGAAATTCAAGATGGCAAATGTACAAATTAACAAAAATCGAATATTTCACTGTAATTCCACTTCTCCTCTATGAAAAATGGTAAGTTCGGTGTCTAATTATATGTTATTGACCTCTATGAGTCTTATAAACATAGTATAAAAAAGTAGGATGGCAGCCATGATAATGATAATCTGTCTTCTACTGAACAGAAGGGGTTACGATCTTTACCTGGTGATTATTTGGGTGTTTTCCAAAACTCTGATAGTCCTTTGGGTCATTATTCTGATGTTAAACATATAATCAATACTGGTGATCATCCTCCTGTTCGTGCTCGCCCATATAGACACCCACCTCATATACAAAATATTATTCGTGCAGAGGTGGACAAAATGTTAAAAGATAACATTATTTCACCATCGAAGTCTTGTTGGTCTAGTAACATAGTCTTAATTAAAAAGAAAAACACCAATGATTTTCAGATTCTGCCTAGATTGTCGACCATTAAACTTGTGTAGAGTGCGTGATAACTTTCCGCTTCCCAATATTTTGGATTCTTTGGATAGTTTAGGTGCTACTAATCCTGCATTTTTTTCAACCTTAGATATTGCTTCGGGCTATTGGCAAATAGGACTTGAAGAAAGTAGTAAATGTAAAACAGCATTTGTTACACAAGGGGGTTTGTATGAATTCAGTGTGTTCTACCTGTTGGCCTCCATAATGCTCCAAATACGTTTCAACGTGCAATGCAAGAAATTCTTAGAGGTTTACAATAGAAATTGCTCTTGTATATCTTGATGATATTATAATTTTTTCAAAATCATTTGAAGAGAATATTGATCATCTGAGACAAGTTTTAGATCGGTTTAGGTTAGCTGGATTGAAGTTAAAACCTAAGAAATGTACATTTGGTCATAACTACTGATCCCGAGTAAATTAAAATTGTCCAAGAGTATCCTGTTCCTACGAAAACTTCCCCGTTTAAATCGTATTTGGGATTTACCAGTTATCATGGACGGTTTATTCCGGGTTATAGTCAAATAGCTTATCCCCTAACTAATCTTACTAAAAAGATATACCATTTATTTGGTCTCAGGAATATCATGAGGCATTCGAAACATTTAAAAGTTTGTTCTTCAGACTGATGCTTCGACTACAGGGTTAGCATATATATTGTCACAAATCCAAGATGATGTTGAAAAGGTAATAGCATATGGTGGTAGAGTTCTGTCTAAATCAGAAAGAAATTATTCTATTACCGAGTTAGAGGCATTAGCTGTCGTCGAAGGTGTTAAGAAATATTCTTCATATCTTTTACATGGGCCTAAATTTAAAATTGTTACTGATCACCGTGCTTTGTGTTGGTTATTTGATCGAAAACAACCAACTGGTCGTATAGCTCGTTGGATATTGTTATTGCAAGCTTATGACTTTGAGATAGTTCATAAGGCAGGCATCTCAATTAAGAATGCCGATACGCTTAGTAGGTTACCCATAAGTACGTCGCAAACATTACCAGATCACACTATAGTCATAGTTGTATTAACTCTAATGATAATTCATGTAGCAATAGTAATGTTATTGGAAATACTTCATCGAAATGGGTCCCATTTGAGTTTGGTTCTTTAGATGATTGTATAATACCATGTAAATCTAAACCGAATGTCAGTGTAATACGTAATGTTCGATTGCAACAAGGGAAACGATTGATGAATAGAGATGTTGAAGATTATAAATCTCATGTTTCTAACATCCATGAATCAGTGGTGGCGCCAGAGGTGGGGATAGCCCCCCGTCGGGGAAGACGATAAATTTTGTCGGGGAACAAACAAATAAAAACAAATATTTACATGTAATATTCGTTTAGCCACCATATTGTTTGTGCTAACTTTTCATCACAAAAACAACAACAATAACAATAATAATAATAATAATAATAATAATAATAATTTAATGAGACTAATTAAAAATAATTTGCATTCTGTTATGTCAAATGCTCACTGAGATAGTCTCATGATGGTTGGAATACATCGTGATAGGTGAAGCAACCTCGACCATGACAGCGTGGTTGACAGATTTCATGCAAAATTTCCAAAATATAGAATTTCACTTTCAAGAAAGAGCATTTAAAAATAAATTAGATGGTTACATTGCATACTCTTTGTTTCTTGCTTTATTCAAAATGTTTTGGTTTTGGAAGCTGATTTCAACATTATGAAAGCATAGCCTACATGAAGTCATATTATAGTAACTCGATGCCTATCAAGTAAGTAATAAAAATTCAACATAATTCATCAAATATCCGTGGCTTCCAGGGGGCTTCGCCCCCCACCCCACCGGGGGCCCTAGGCTGCCTCCTGGCCCCCTGCCAAGTGAGACTCGATTCGTTCCAGTAGCCCCCCTCCGTCGGGCAGGTCCTGGCGCCACCACTGCCATGAATGTGTTCATTTTTCTGATCTTAAGCAGGAAAAACGGAACGAATCATGTGCAGGTGTTATTGCAGTTACCTAGAAGGTGATATTTTGTCTTCTGATGATAAATTTGCTCGTAATATACTTATGGAATCTGAACATTACTTCATTCATGACGATGGGTTATATGACGTATGGTCAGCTTCCACAACACGACATTTTCTGGGAAGAACTACTGTACAGTTGTATATTCCGCAGAGGTACGTTGACACGGTTTTACATGCTCATCATGATGAAGTTTTTGCTGCACACTTTTGTTTCCATAAAATATATGCAAAGATTAGACAGCGTTACTTTTTGAAGGGAATGTACAAGGATATTTATAACTGTATTCGATCTTGTGTATCTTGTGCCAGTAAGAAAACGCCAAAATAGAGTTATTGCTCCGCTGATGACAATGGAAGTTCCAGGGCCATTTTGAGCGAGTAAGTGTAAATGTTTTGGGACCTTTACCTATTGCAATAACTGGTAATCGCTATGTTTTATGTTTTGCTGATCATTATACACGTTGGCCAATTTTGGTTCCTGTTAAAACTATTGATTCTGGAATAATTGCCAATCATTTTACTCGGAAAAAATATGTAATCATGGATGTCAGAGATATTTGCTTAGCGACAGAGGTGCCAATTTCTTGAGTAAATTGGCGATCGAGGTTTGTCGCATTATGAGGACAAATAAACCGAATACTAGCTCATATCATCCTCGGTGTAATGCAGTGCAAGAACGTTTCAATGCTGTAATTCTGGATACAATTTCGCACTATGTCAACCGATTTCAGACTGATTGGGATAAGTATATACCATCCATTCAATTTGCCTACAGGACGACACCAGCAGATAATAGTGTGGGTTTTAGTCCATTTTTCTTATTGTACGATAGAGAAGCAGGTTTGCCGATGGATGTATCATTACTTAAGCCTGAAGTGGGTCAGGATAGGACTTTACGTGAACATATTAAGCATCTGGTTACACAATTGGAATTGGTCCGTGATATTTCAAAGAAATGTTTACAGGACAATCAAAATTCCATGAAACAACGTTTGATAAGTGTGCAACTGATGTGGAATACCAAGTTGGAGACTCTGTCTTTTTATTCTTTCCGTTTACACCACCCGGTCTCTCCAGGAAATTGCAGAAAAGATGGTGTGGACCGTATTTGCTAGTAAAGCGAACTGGACCCGTTAACTTCATGGTTCGAAATTTGGAAAATAATAAACTTTTGCCATCGCTAATACATGTTAATCGCATGAAATTTGCTTACGACAGGTATGTTCGTCCAACCAACGATGATCTACAGGGAAAAGACCCTAATCAATGCAATGTTCAAGGGCTGAGCGATGCTGATTTTCCAAAAGAATCTTTCAAACCTCTGCTGTCGACTCAAACTGTTAAGGATAAGCCAGTTGTTGTACCTGGTTTACCTTTTATTAATAAAGACAAAGCTCCATGAAATTGAACGAATTATCCGTGGGAAGTTCGTTAAAGGTAAATTGAATAAATGGGCAAACTTAACATAATATATGGGAACCAGAGAGCAATTTGAACTATACTGCAATTGAGCATTTGAAATCAAATCCTGTTCGGATAATTAGGAAACGTGTGTGATGACGTACTTACGTCGAACTCTACTGCTTTATTGAACATTAATTAATATAATGTGGAATTATTTTTGTAATTATCATGCCTGCAAAAGGTATCGGAATCGTGTATTATAATGTAATCAATTATGCTTATTTGACTATGCGATTTAAGATAAAATTTGAAATTATTTGATTGTGATAAAATGAAGAGAATGTTATAATTAACGTCAACATGCAAGATTAAGTTTGTTAATTATATATAAGTTTAACAAAAAAAATAATTAGATAACAGGCTTATGTAGCGCTAATGTGTTCTTATAGGATCCAACATAAGTCACAAAATTATAATAGAATATTTGTCAACGTCCAGAGATATTAGACCACGATTTCGCAACAGACGTCTGTAGGATTCCATCAAGTCTTGGTAAAGTATTAGAGGGTGTTGAAAAGATGAAACTTGCCTATCCATATGATAACCAAATAGGACTAAATTGGTAATAACATGGGATTGGGAGTTCCTAATGATGCACACGTTCGGGAGTGCTAATATCGTGTTATATATTTATGGAAGATAGGAAGTCGAAAAATTTATCATTTTGCAACTTAATATTAATCACATTTAATTGCTCTTACTACTGTATATAGTTTTGTAAATGTACACTAGAACTATTCATACCGAGGCTACATAAATGAATCGTCTCAGTCCATTCTTGTAGGGGAGGCGTATGTGATGGAGCTGGTATATCAATTTATTATGCATGATTATTTGATTCACCTGTTGAATAAATTAAGCTAATTAAGTGTTGGAATATAAAAGGGCTTTGAGAGGGTGGCTCAAGGTCCATTGTTGAAGCCGAGAGATCAGTGTATGATGTTATTGTTGTTTGCACAGGCCATGTTGATTAAAGTATCATTCAAGTAGCTTGTAGTTGTTTGTCGTTATTTCAATGTACGGCATAATAGTATGTAATTCCACTTCTCGATTAAAAATAGTAAATTTGGTGTCTGATTATAAAAACCACCGAAAATAGAATATTTCGGTATGTAATTCCACTTTTCTTTGAAAAATGGTAATAGTGTGTCTAATCATATGTTATTGGTCTCTCTTGGCCTAATAAACATGGCTTTAACAAGTTAGGATGCCCGCCATTTTTGAATTCAAGATGGCGGCCATGAAAATCTTCGAAAAATCAAAAATTTGGTTTTTATAATTTCACTTCTCTTTGATCAAAAATAGTCAAATTGTTGTCTAATCATATGTTATTGGGCTCTCTGAGTCCAATGACCATGGTTTCAAAAAACTAGAATGGCAGCCATTTTGAAATTCAAGATGGCCACTATGAAAATCGTCGAAAATCAAAATTAGGCCTAGGCCTATTTGTTTTTTCTAATTCCACTTCTCGATTAAAAATAGTAAATTTGGTGTGTAATCATCTTATTGGGCTATCCGAGTCCAATAAATAGCAACATACATTAATCAAGGAGAAGCAGAATTATAAAAAAATCTTCAATTTAATAATAACTGCCATCCGACTTTTTTTGAAAATTACCTTTAGTGATATCTTACCTTTAGTGATAACAGGAGGCAAAGAGTTTAAAACTCGTGCCGGATGCCCCCTCTCATATTACAAATGTGTCGATCGTAGTGTGCTTTGAATGAGTTTTGGATGTGCAATTGACAACATGTTCATGCAGCTTGTTCCACTTATCTATAACTCTAGTGTCAAAGAATGAATCACGAAAAATTTTGTTATGCACAGGAAGAATGATCTTAAAATTGTGACCACGAGTGTGATGGGCCCTCTATGCAGGATGTGAAAGAGTAAAAAAAAAGTTGAGAATCTATATTATCAAGATTGTGAAAAATTGTGTACACTTCGATCATGTCACCTCGGTCACGTCGTTCTTCTAAAGAGGAAAGTCCTAAGGCCCTCAAACGTGAATCAGATGAAAGGTTTTGGAGTTCTGGTACAAGTTTGGTCGGCCTATGCTGCACCTTCTCTAATGCTATGATATCCATTCTGTATTGGGGAGACCATGCCTCCATTTGCGGCCGAATGAGGGTTTTATAGAGTGGAAGAAACATACTTTGCTCATGTAGGTAAAAATGATAATCTGTAGCCATAGTAATTAGTTGACATGGAAGAAACGTTGCTTATCTCTTATGACAGGAGAGAAATCATTCGTATTATAATGAAGGTCTGACTCTACGGTCTCACCATAGCGTACGGTAAGTAAACAACGAATAAGCTGTAACATAATACTTACTAAATAAATAGATACGAATAGTTTTTTTTGTCTGTTGACCTATGTAAATTAGTTTTTCTGCGTAGGTTTTCGTCAGAGAACCTAATACAGGAAAGCCTGCCCTAGGTCAACAGTTAAGTATCACTTAAAGTGGGCTAGGCCTACCATTTTTTGTTATCTACATATCCTGACATGCAAGTTACCAAGAAATAAATCACTACAAAACATGATTTTTATACAAATATAAGACCACTAGTCTCTCCATTCACAACTTGAGGGCTCACACATAGTAGAGACGATTTTCAAACTACGTATTATATTTAGGTAGGAGCGGGTAAATCATAGCATATAATATTGAAATCAAGTTGCTGCTTAGCACTGGGAACACAAGTAATGTATAACTCAATCAACCGTATTAAAGATAGTTCAACGAAAGTTTCTTATTAAATAGTTGTATGAAAAAAGAGGTCTCTGGTGGAAATTAAAGTCGCAAACTTTCGGTCGGCGAGCGCCATACCGTTTAGACCACACACACACACCCACACCCACACGCACCTCCCACACCCCACACACACAAACATGTCTTTGTCGCATAACATTGATAGTGTAAGATTATACCTGTATTTTTTATTTGAAAAGATACTTAACTATAACCAATGCCTTTAGCCAGGATTTTCAAATTGTGTGGGACAATATCAGGGTGGACCCATTTTACATGTAAATTCTAATAATGTGGACTCATTTTCTTAAAAGTTGTCCCATTTTACCCAAAAATATGAATAATGTGGACTCATTTTCTTAAAAATTGACCCATTTTATGCAAAATATGAGAAATCTGGACCCATTTTCTTAAAAGTTGACCCATTTTACACAAAATATGGGAAATCTGGACCCATTTTTAAAATGTTGACCCATTTTTTGTGGACCCAATAGAAAAATTGTGTGGGACTGTCCCAACTGTCCCAATAGCTGGCTACGGCATTGAATATAACAGTACACAATGTAAGTCTTTGAAATAAAAGAAAGTCTATAAACTATAAAATTGATTTGGAAACAACCATTCTAATCAAACCGTTTAGGTATTTAATTTTGAAGTTTTTAATAAGCCTACGCACCTGCCATCTTCGTTTAGCAACATATCGTTTCAGCTTTGTAGTACAAAGTCGGTTAGTTTGTCTTTGTCTCGTGTCGCCTGCTAGCCATTTGTGTTCTAGGCATTGGTTGGCACTATGCCGTTTCCTACAAAAAAAAAACAAAAAACAAAAAAAAAAAAACAATTGCCATGTGCTTAAGCTAGTCAGTTGTATGAATTTTCTGCCATTTTGATTACATCATATTAAAAACAAAATATGTTATCAAATCTTGTAATTAATAATATGACTAAGTGTATCCTATTTTCTTTCTTAGTTTAAATACTGTAGGCCTATTCGACGGTTTTTCTTTCTCTGTGTCCTAATCCAAAATATTACAAAAGTTATCTCTTGGTGTACTGACAATGATAATAGGAGCTGCAATGTGGGCGCACATCTCCAGGGACCTAATCCGAACTTCCTTGTTGATTTTACCAATCATTCAGTAATTTTGCATATATGAAATAACTAAGTCTTCAATTGAAAATTATAATGAGAAAATAATGTCCCTGCCAATTAAGGGACGGAGTGCAACGAGTAGGCCTACTTACATCGAGTGACCCTCTTATAGTGTAGGGATATCCTTAGTTATTTTGAACCTCATTTAATTTGATTATTTTTTTTAATGTAGTAGTGATATTAATAACAGCAACAATACCAACAATAATAATAATAACAACTCCATTTAATCACAGGCTCCATGATAAGCCCTGAAAAAAACCACTCATTTATACAACTAATCAGTTTGAGACATTCCCGTTTGTGTGTTCTAATTTATTGTTTTATTGCCTACATATACAATAAAAATTTCAAATGGGGTAAGAGGGTTGAGAAAGGAGCAGTTTGTTTCTCATGTAGGCCTATTTATAAAATATTTGATATTCCAATAACCAACAACATTTTTACTGTGTTAATACAGTAAGTTATAGTACCACCACCCCACTCCACCACGTCCCCATAATCACTACCGAGTCTGAACAATCCTGACTCATCACATGCCATATACATTTAAATATTGCATTTATATATATAAAAAAAATGTGTTGTTTTTTAGTTCATTAAAAGAATTTATAATAGTAGAGACATACCGTACTTAGGCGTTTATTCATGAGAATGGGTTTGGGGGGGGGGCGTTTATTCCAGTGAGGTGTTTATTTTTGGAAGATAAGACACGTATATACTCAAATAAACGCCCCTTAATTGCAATGTAAATTTGGTAAATTTTCAAAGTGGGGCGTCTATTCGAATAAAGTTTCAGTTTCAGGCTACCAACTTTCGTATAGGCCACAATGTATATAATTAATTGATCGGCTTAGCAATATTCCGCAGGCCTACATTTAGATTTCTATGAGGTTTAGATAAAAAAAATACCTGACAGGATTTGAACTTAGAACCCAGGGTTTGGAAGACAAACATCTTAACCACCAAGGCACAGTCGTATGGTAAAACGAAAGGTACTGTACTGTTATTATTATTATTATATTATTATTATTTGGATTTATAGAGCGCTTTTCCAAGAGACCAAATCGCTGTACAAAAATAGATTTTTTATAAATTTATATTATCATACAATTGAAGCACATAGGAAATAAGACAATTAAAACACTAAGGATTAGGAAAAATGTGCGTCTTGAGGAGTTTAAAAAAAAAAGATGCACAAATGCACAATAGAAGCTTCACGAACACTAAAGTCTTGGCCCCAGAACGGAAAACGACTTATCTCCAAAAGATCGTTTTGTTTTTGGAATGGCGAGACGAGTATGGTTTTGGGCGGATCTAAGCCCTCGTAATACTATGATCACTCAGACAGACGGGAGCTGAGTTGTGCAGGCAATTGAACACATGCACCAAGATCTTATACTCAATTCTCTGCTGGACAGGTAACCAATGCAACTCCCGAGTAAGTGGGGCCGCAGGAGTGCGCCTGCTAACCTGAAAGATCAGACGTGCCGCACGATTCTGCAAGAACGAAACACATTTTTGTCAACCTATAAATAAATCTATTAATATTACAAGATATCGTGTATTTCTGACGTTACAAATCTTTACCTTTGAAGTTTCACCAATAATTCTTCGATGAATGCTTTAGCGTCTTCAGAAACAGTATCAAAGGCCGGGTCGTCGAAGTCCCAATCCGCCCTTGTCACGTTATTTAGTGTATCCACGTCAGAGTCACCAAGAAATGGGGACAAACCACTTAGCCTTTAATAAACACATACAATTAATTAAATAAGTATTCGGTACTGATTCATTTATGATTGTAGTTTAAACCATAATTTATTTTGGTAATTCAAATGTGCCAGCTTGTACCGATACCGGTATATAGATTCATAGAAATCCTATTCTTAAACACCATGTGTAAAATAACTCACTAATTTCTTTTATTAACAGCATAATATTGTGATTTTCGTTTTGTCTTCGTTTTATTTTCATAGAAACCCGCATAGACCTAGCCAAGAAAGTGTCTTGTCGTGACGTAATGTGCCGGACACCGTAAGCAACGCTTGCTCTCACATTAGACAACTCTATATACTTGTCTCAGGTCTCACCGTCGTCAGAAGTATGACGATAATCTACTTACAGAATATAACAAATAACCCCTACACTCCACATATCCGTAGCAGTGTCAATGGAATCATAGTTGATTACTTCAGGAGCAACGAATTCTGGTGTTCCAAACATCACTTTCATCGAATCTCCAGGTAATAACTTCCTAGCTAAACCGAAGTCGATAAGTTTGATTCGATTACTGTGTTTATCCACGCACATTATATTCTCTGGCTTTAAATCAAGATGTACAATGTTCAGTTTGTGCATATGCTGAACCCCGAGACAAATTTGCCGCATGAATATTACAGCATCACTTTCGCAAAATTCAAAATCGTCGGCGATGATTCGTTCAAATAATTCACCACCGGATACACTGAAAGCATATTATTGTCTGATACCATGATTTATAATAGTAATAGTAGCAGTAGTAGTAGTAATAGTAGCAGTAGTAGTAGTAGTAGTAGTAGTAGTAGTAGTAGTAGTAGTAGTAGTAGTAGTAGTAGTAGTAGTAGTAGTAGTAGTAGTAGTAGTAGTAGTAGTACCGGTAAACCTATCCAATGTGAGGACAATCGCCTATATTTTCTTATTAATCTCAGGACAAAAAAAATAAGTGAGGACAAATCTCGTGTCCTCACTTAGTCTAGGCC